ATTGGGGACATTGGGGACATTGGGGGGATTGGGGACATTGGGGACATTGGGGGTGTTGGGGGTGTTGGGGACATTGGGGGTGCTGGGGATGTTGGGGACATCGGGGGATTGGGGACATCGGGGGATTAGAGACATTGGGGGCATTGGGGACATTGGGGTTATCAGGGACATTGGGGGCATTGGGGACACTGGGGACATCAGGGGGATTGGGGACATCAGGGGCATTGGGGCATTGGGGACATTGAGGGGATTGGGGACATTGGGGACATCGGGGACACCACGGGGATGGAAGATGGGGACAGGGACGCTGGGGAGGGGACATGGGGCTGGACATTGAGGACAGGGACCCCAGGGAAGGGACACAGGGACCCCAGAGAGGGGACACCAGAGAGGGGACACAGGGACCCCAGGGAGGGGACACAAAGCCACACCCCAGTGTCCCCACAGCCCCTCCCTCACCTGCAGCTTGACCGACTCCGGCAGCTTCATCTGCAGCAGCCCCTCCTCCAGCTCTTCCTCCTCCTCCTCCTCCTCCTCCTCCTCCTCCTGCACCTCCCCGGCCTCAATGGCCTTCGTCCTCTTGGCCTCCTCCTCATCCTCCTCCTCCTCCTGCAGCTCTCCGGCCTCGATGGCCTTCCTCCTCCGCACCTCCTCCTCCTCCTCCTCCTCCTCCATCTCTCCAGCCTCGATGGCCTTTCTCCTCCTCGCCTCCTCCTCCTCCTCCTCCTCCTCCTCCTCACCAGCCTCGATGGCCTTCGTCCTTTCCTCCTCCTCCTCCTCCTGCTCCTGCTCCTGCTGCCGTGGGTGCTGCTGCCGCGTCCCGAAGACGCGCGGCTCGATCATGCGCAGCACCCTGCGCACGTCGCGGTCGCCCAGCGCTCCCACGGCCAGCAGCGCCGACACCAGCTTCAGCACGGGCACCAGCTGGAACTCCACGCTGCCCCCGACGGGGTCCCGGGCGTGCGGCCCACCCCCGGCCACCGCCTCGGCCAGCATCCTCATGGCCTTGGCTCCCAGCTCCTCCAGCGGGATAGCCGGGCTGAGCGGCGCCCCGCCGCCGCCGGCGCCGCCGGCACGGATAAAACACGGCTCCGAGAAATGAGGCTGGGGTCTCAAACAAGCGCTGGGCCCCACGCCCGGGGGTCCCGGGCAGCGGGCGCCCTCGGGGAAGAGCGCGATGCCGCGGGTGGCCGCGGCGATGGGCACGATGAACTCGGCGCTCATGGAGGAGCGGGCGCGCTGCGCCGCCTCCAGGTGCATGGCTAGCAGCAGGTCGTAGTAGCCGGCCCGCAGCGGCCCCGGCAGCTCGGGGGTCTCGATGGCGAAGAGCAGCTGGGCCTGGTCCACGTGGCTGCACAGGGCGTGGGCCACGCGGTTGTTGCCCAGGGCGCAGACGGCGCAGTAGAGCCGCAGCGTGTGGCACTGGAACTGCAGCAGCTCCTGCCGCTCCCACAGCTCCAGGATGTCGATGCACCTGAGGGGAAGGGGCCGCGGTCAGGGGAGGGGGTCAGGGGAGAGGGGGTGTGGGGTGGGACCCCCTCCTTGGGATGGGACCCCTGGGACGGAGACCCCCGGAATGGAGACCCCCGGGATGGGACCCCTGGGGTGGGACCCCTGGGGTGGGAGGATAAGGGTGTCCTGGGGATGGAGACCCCCGGGATGGGACCCCTGGATGGGACCCCTGGGATGGGACCCTGGGATGGGACCCCAAAGTCTCCTGGGGATGGGACCCCTGGGATGGAGACCCCCGGGATGGAGACCCCCGGGATGGAGATCCCCGGGATGGGACCCCCGGGATGGGACCCCTGGGATGGGACCCCTGGGGTGGGAGGGTAAGGGTGTCCTGGGGATGGAGACCCCCGGGATGGGACCCCTGGGATGGGACCCCAGAGTCTCCTGGGGATGGGACCCCCGGGGTGGGACCCCTGGGGTGGGAGGGTTAGGGTGTGCTGGGGATGGGACCCCTGGGATGGAGACCCCTGGGATGGGACCCCCAGGATGGGAGGGTTAGGGTGTGCTGGGGATGGAGACCCCCAGGGTGGAAGCCCAGGGGACAGGACCCCTTGAGGCTGGGGGTGGCGTCCCTGGGGTCCCTTGGGGTGTCTCTGGGGTCCTTGGGTGTCCCTGGGGGTGTCCCTGGCTGCTGGGGATGGAGACCCCCGGGATGGGACCCCTGGGATGGGTGTCCCCAGGTGTCCCCAGGTATCCCTGGCTGTCCCCACCTATCCCCAGGTGTCCCCACCTGTCCTCCTCGGGGATGTGCAGGGCCATCATCTGCAGGGGCTCGGAGCACTCGACGGCCCAGCCCTGGCTGTCCCCACCTATCCCCAGGTATCCCCAGGTGTCCCCAGGTGTCCCCAGGTATCCCTGGCT